AGATGGCACCTTAGCAATCGTATGAGGCTCATTTATTCAATCCTTCTTAGGAAAGCACAACTTTTGCAATAGCTACAATTTTTGATCCAAAATTGTTTTTCATCAATACTGTTTTATGCGGTCAGAACATTTCCTTTTATAGAGAGCTAATAGTTTGGCAATTAAGTATGACAATAACCAAAAGGTTTTTAGACGTGTGTGTGTGTGTGTGTGTGTGTGTGTTGTGTATTTTCAATAGTAAAATATTAGTCTGAAATCTGTACTACAAAATTAGTTTTAAATAAATGAGTTCAGTAAATGGGTTAGGAGATAATATGAGGCACTCAGCCTAATATAAAACAATACTTTGATTCTCGTGTTATTTCCTTAATCTTGTTATTTTCTTATGTCACATGATTAAGAGAGTAAAGAGTATCTGAATAAGAATTTCAGGAATACATTGTGTTAAGTGGTGAAAACTTAATTGCAAATGTCATGATTTAGATTTAAATATATTTCATATGTTAAATATGAAGTAAAATAAGACTTTTGCGACAATGACAGAAATAAGTAACCATGTATTTAGGCAAAGTTTCTCTGTATAGTAGCATTCCATTTGGGAATCAGTTTTATTTTATATAGAGCATCACTTTTATACCACATTGACAGAATTTCTGCTCTTTTGTCCAGGTATCAGATTCACACCGGACTTCAACATTCTATCATCAGACCCACCCAACCCAACTGTTTACCTCTGGACAATGCAACCCTACCTCAGAAGCTAAAGGAGGTTGGATATTCAACACACATGGTTGGAAAATGGCACTTGGGTTTTTACAGGAAAGAGTGCATGCCCACCAAGAGAGGATTTGATACTTTCTTTGGTTCCCTCTTGGGAAGTGGTGATTACTATACACACTACAAATGTGATAGTCCTGGGATGTGTGGCTATGATTTATATGAGAATGACAATGCCGCCTGGGACTATGACAATGGCATCTACTCCACACAGATGTACACTCAGAGAGTACAGCAAATCTTAGCTTCTCACAGCCCCAGAAAGCCTCTATTTTTATATATTGCGTACCAAGCTGTACACTCACCGCTGCAAGCCCCAGGCAGGTACTTTGAACACTACAGATCCATTGTCAACATAAACAGGCGGAGGTATGCCGCCATGCTCGCCTGCTTAGATGAAGCAATCAACAACGTGACCCTTGCTCTGAAGACATATGGTTTCTATAACAACAGCATTATCATTTACTCTTCGGATAATGGTGGCCAGCCTACAGCAGGGGGAAGTAACTGGCCTCTCAGAGGTAGCAAAGGAACGTACTGGGAAGGAGGCATCCGGGCCGTGGGCTTTGTGCACAGCCCCCTCCTGAAAAACAAGGGGACAGTGTGCAAGGAGCTTGTGCACATCACCGATTGGTACCCTACTCTGATCACACTGGCTGAAGGTCAGATCGATGAGGACATTCAGCTGGATGGCTATGACATCTGGGAGACCATAAGTGAAGGCCTTCGTTCACCCCGAGTAGATATTTTGCACAACATTGACCCTATATACACCAAAGCAAAAAATGGCTCCTGGGCAGCAGGCTACGGGATCTGGAACACGGCGATCCAATCGGCCATCCGAGTGCAGCACTGGAAGCTGCTGACGGGCAACCCTGGCTACAGTGACTGGGTCCCTCCACAGGCTTTCAGCAACCTGGGGCCCAACCGGTGGCACAATGAGCGCATTACCTTGTCGACTGGCAAAAGTGTGTGGCTTTTCAACATCACAGCCGACCCCTACGAGAGAGTGGACCTCTCTACTAGGTATCCAGGCATCGTGAAGAAGCTTCTGCGGAGGCTGTCACAGTTCAACAGAACTGCGGTGCCCGTCAGGTACCCCCCCAAAGACCCCAGGAGTAACCCCCGGCTCAACGGAGGCGTCTGGGGACCCTGGTATAAAGAGGAAAACAAGAAAAAGAAGCCACGCAAAAAGGCTGAGAAAAAGCAGAAGAAAAGCAAGGCTAAAAAGAAGAAACAGCAGAAAGCAGGAACATTTCCAAATTGCCATTCAGGGACAACTGCAAGTTAAGTACACATTTTTCCTGGTTGGTTACATTTAATTCGGTTCTTAGCCTTTCACCTGTTTTCTAGGCAAACCAGCTCAATCATATCAGTGCCGTCACATCAGGTGTGTTCTTAGGTTGTGGTACCCCAGAAACTTCGGGGCCTGGACATCCACCTGGAGGACTGCTCTGCTGTGCCAAAGGTGCTGCTTGCTGAGCCTTCCTAGAGGAAGACGGAGATGTGGGTATTTCTCTCATTCCTTTTGAAACACGTAGTCCTCATAAGAGTAGAATGCAGTGTTTGCAATTAAAAGAGGATATCAGAGCCTTCAATAGATGTCATCGCAGTTTTGTGGAAGTTGTAGGGTCACATGATTAAAATTTACAGTTATAGGAAGTTATAGGATACCTTTGAAGAAGTGTCGTCAAAGCTTCCAGCACCTCAGAAGCCTTTAGAAATCTCTTTCAGGAGTTTTTGAGTCATAGTTTCAAACAAAAACAAAATAAAACACCGAGTGTCTTAAATTTATTCTACTTCATGTACCATTTTTTCCTGTGAAAATAAGCTGGTTTTCTCACATGTGAACAGCTTGCACCTCTTTTTTTCATGCATGAGAAAATGGCAAATAAGATTGTTTGAGCACACTGCCAAAAAATGAATGTAACTATTTTATAAACACTTTAATTGAAATTTCAGCACAGAATACATAATTTATTTTTACAGAAAAAATATTTTGTTAGAAAAAGTTGCATATATGACTTCTTATTATTTTATTCCTAGTTTCTACATACCATTAGAATCTTATTTCCTGTCTTCAAGAATATCAAACACTGTAAAATTATAAATTATTGTGACACTGTGTGTATTTTTGTAAAAAATAAATTACTCAGAAAAAGGATTACAATTACTGTTCCACAGTTACTTTGAATGTAATATGAATATTTTCTTTGCTAATTGCTTGGTAATTCAGTATTTGTATAGATTTGAGACTATTATTTCTAACATAAACACTTTATTTATATGTCTATTAAAATTATCCTATTTTTATGGCACTAGCAAACCTTCTCTGGCTTTTCTGATCTAACTTTTGCATAAAATTGTAGTATTAATATTAACAAACAGCCATCTTTGTAAATTGTAAATTAAAGTATGCTGCGTGAAACCGATAGTAACATAACTTGGATTTTAAAAATAAGAGATTTGTTTCCTCTCGGCATAGAGAAAGATGTTCATTTGTAATTAATAAAGCGCATTTACAAGGAGCTTACTCATACACCATGTTTCCAAGTATGATGTCCCTTTCCAAGGAATAACCTCACCTAGCTTGATGTCCAAAGTATGAAAGTTGAAGCTCTGCAATCTTTGCTTCCATGGAGCAGTCTGGCTGCATTTTTTTCAAGATGGAGGGTCAGTGAAAGAGAGGAAGACCTCCAAAGAGATAGATTGGCACAGTGACTTCAGAGGTGGGCTCTAGGTGTCAAAGAGATGAGGATAACACTAAGATAAGGTACGTTTCAGGTAGTCTGTTTATAGAGTCACTAAGAGTTAACATCAACAGCAACACATATTCCAAGTGAACACTATGGAGAAACGCAGAAAAATGGAAGATGTAGATCCTTCCTAGAGCAGTTAATTATGTACTTTGGGAAATCACTGATGAAAATATCAAGGAAGTATACAATAAACATTATTTGTAACAGTGTTTGTCAAGGATGATTCCTTTTGGCCCTTATGTTTCATTTGTTGTTCTTTCTGCTAATAAAAGGCACAGAGGCTTTTGAGCTCCATAGATTGCACCTCCAAAATCACAGATAGCTAGAACTGTGTTTGTTTACTTACAACTGTGACAAAAAAGTATGCAAAGTGCAACATGACCCTAACATCAGAATACAAAGCTTTATGAAACTCTTTGAAGGAATCTATAAACTAATTACTGAGACTATTAAAATGAAGAAAATGTGAAAAATAATTTTCATTCTATTATTTTCATCTCTGGAACAAATACTTCTAATTTATTATGCAGTATAAAATAGGATATCCTGATGTTTATATATTCTCTTGACTGTTTTTAAATGGGCCTCAAAAATTAAAAGCATATTGTTACTGTCTTTTTCCTTTCTTATCTAATATCCTGAGTGGTATTTGGAAGAAAAAGCCTGGTCCTCTACTTCCATTAAGAGTTGTTGTTATTGATTGCCTTTGAGTTAGCATGACTCATAGTGACCCTATGAACAAAAGGCCTGAAGCCCCTCTACAACTATTGACATTTATCAAAGTTCATAGAGTTTCCGGAGGCATGTTATTTAGGAAATGGATGCCACTCTTGCCTCCAAACCTGTCATAGTATATTATTGTTGTTATGTTCCATTTAGTCGCCTGCGATGTATGGCTGGAGAAGAGTGTAGAATACACGATGGACTGCTAAGAGAACAAATGGGTCCATCTTGGAGAGGGTAAAATGAGGCTGCTCCTTGGAGGCAAAAATTTTGAAGATCCATCTGAAACATTTTGGGCATGTAGCAAGCAGGACCAGTCGTTAGAAAGAGACATCATGCTTGGAAGGGTGGAAGGACAGCTCAAGAGAGGAAGATCCTGGATGAGATGGATTTGCTCAGATACTGGGGCAAGTATGTCAGAGACAATGAAGTTTGCTTAAGGTACAGCAGGGTTCAGGGTCGCTATGAGCCACAAGCAACTCAATAGCACATAACAACATCTAAATTTTATGGAACTTGAACATCATGTATTATACTTTGGACTTCTGTAATTCAAACATTCTAACATTTCAGAACATACACAAAACAGTAACAATATTTAGTTTGTTTGGCTCCACAGTCTACAGTCTTGGCACAAGTAGCCAGGAAATTAAAAGGCGCATTGCCATGGGAAAGTCTGCTGTTAGGGACCTCTCCAAAGTACTGAAGAGCAATGGTGTCTCTCTGGAGACTAAGGTGCATCTGATACAGGTCATGGTCTTCGCAATCACTTGTTATGCATCAGAGAGTTGGACAATCCTAAAGAGGATAGAAGGAGAATTAATGCCTTTGAGCTGTGGTGCTGGAGAAGAGTATTGAGAATACCATGGACTGCTAGGAAAACAAACAGATTTGTCCTGGAAAGGGTTAAACCGGGTGGGGGTGGCTCCTTGGAGGCAAGGATTCTGAGGTTCTGTCTAACATATTTTGGACATGTTGTGAGGAGAGACGGGTCCTTAGAGACGGACATTATGCTTGGGAGGGTGGAGGGACAGCGCAGGAGAGGAAGGCCCTCTATGAGGTGAATTGATTCAGTGACTGGGATAATTGGGATGGGAGTGTCAGAGACAGTGTGATTGGCACAGGACAGAGTGGAGTTTAGGGCTGTTGTACATAGGGTCACTATGAGTCGCAAGAGACTTGACGGCACATAACAACAACAACAACATTTCTGTTATAATCCTAGCTCTGGTGACCTAGTGGCAAGAACATGCGCTGCAATTCCAAAGGCACATGGTTCAATGCCATTAGCTTCTCAGTGGGAAAAAGATGGGGCAATCATTTCCCATGCAATTAACTGCCTCTGAAAACTTGCCAGAGGGACAGCCGTGTGTCAGTTCTTCCTCTAAGGTAAACAACAATGAAAACAATAATATTTCAGTTTTCATTTACTGTGATTTTTGAGAGTCCTGAAACATCCACTAAGGTATGTGTATGTGATAACCCCTAAATAATGAGTTAAGTTTGTCATGTAGAAACCACTCTACCAGTAGTCTTATACTCAACAGTAGGCTGATTTTAATTTGTAGAGTAGTCATAAATTAAACCAGCATTATATAACCATCAAGTAATTTTGTGAAAAGAAACAAAATTCCTATTACATGGAAAATCAGTAACTTCATTTCATTTATTTTATTGCTCTCCTATGGGTCAGATAACTAGTCTTGACTTCTAAAAGGAAGCAAAATTGGTAGTTAGAGGCTTCCTGTAATTGGTATGTTTCCTCTATACAGAAGAAGAAAATACACAAACGTTTTATTGATTAGTCATTTCTGGTTTTTGTTTGGTTGGGATTTAGTTTTGTTTAAAATGAGAATTTTGTAGGAAAATTGTATGCTTTTAGGTCAGCCATTTGTTCAGGGACTTAGTTTCTTAAGAAATGAGCAAGGTGTAGGGAGCTCTGGTGGCCTAGTGGCAAGAAGCTGCACTACAATCCCAGAGGTATGTGGTTTGAATCCACCAGGTGCTCTTCTGGAGAAGGAGGGGGCAATCTCCTCCTGTACCAGTCAGATCCGAATTGATGGTACACACACCCCAAATAATTTTTTTTAAAAAGCCCCTTCACCCTTAAAAAAAAAGAGAGAGAAATGAACAAGGTGGACTAAATCAGTATCATAATTTTGAAACACATGCCTCTCATCCCCTTGAGCACTATGCATCTCTCTTGAGTCTCACCTAAGTCTCAGTCATTCAATTGGTTGTAGACAGTGACAAACCCTGAAATGAACCAAATAGAATTGATCCCCTCCTCTCCTTTCAAGGTATCATGCTTACTCCCTAGCCTGCAAAGACTTGAAGACAGTGAAGCTGTTGTCTGTAATAATCTGCAAAAATGATATATGAGTGACTACAGATAAAGCTAGATTATTGTTGTGATTGCTAACAATATATTCTTGAAAATATATTGTTACCATTTATAACAATAATCTAATAATATACATAGATATTGACAATATATAAATCTTTACATATATATACATACACTATGTATACACACACATATATGATAAATATATATATATACACACACACACACACATATATATATATATATATATATATATATATATACATACACATATATATACACACACACACACAATTAAAAGACATATTGAGATGAAAAAGTCTGCTGCTAGGGACCTCTCTAAAGTACTGAAGAGCAATAGTGTCTTTCTGGAGACTAAGGTGCCTCTGATACAGGCCATGGTCTTTGCTATCACTTGTTATGCATCAGAGAGTTGGACAATGATTAAGGAGGATAGGAGGA